AATCTGTCAAATGTTTTAGTACGACTTTGCTAAGCTACGAAGCCACACCGCTTGATGGATTGTCGGAGCATTACGGCTATCGTAGGCAGGAGCCTCGCGGAGTGATACGTACTGTGCTTCAACATAATATTACCGTATTGTGTGTGCATAACCTCTTTTTAAGTTTTGTGGACATTATACATGGTTATGCTGAGGATATGTCGGCCAATTTCCACTGGAAATGCCTTTTGGTTAAACTGTCAGCAAGGAGTTTGCATTTGCACTGTTACATTTTTATATAACTTTAATGCACATAAAAAACAGCTGCTTGTTTAAGTGAAAATACATTGATGGGGTTTTTTGCACTAATAAAGTTGTGGAGTTGTAAAGTATTTTGTCTAGTGTCAATTATATCGTCAGTTATATCGTTATCGCAAATTTTCAAATGTATATCGTGATAAATATTTTTGGTCATATCGCCCTGCTCTATTAGAAATTTCTTTGCGAAACATAACAGCTGGCTTAAAAGGACTTAAAGGGAACACAAGGGAACTTCCATAAGCCTCACAATGAAACCAAAAGCTCCCAAAGCAACATTTACAAAAATCTTCGAGAAGTTTGGCCACAAACCAAAATAGCAGCGAGTTGCTTTTCCACTCACCAGAAAACTCACAAAACTTGCACCGAAACTCATCAAAGGACTGTGGTTCCTGAAAGAAAGTTTAAAAAAAAAAAGAAGAAAACAACCCCAAACATATAAGAGAAGTTAAAGAAAAATCACATTATGTGAAAAGACTGACAGTGTAAAGTTCACTGGAGAAACAATGAAAAGTATGTGGCCTGTTTCATGCATCAATAATGTAATTATTTATTAGGACTACTGTAGGTTAGAAAAATACTAATGGGAAGGAGGAGAATATTCAGAAGTAAAACAATGAAAAATTAATTCATGAAATAAAAAACCAAGATGTTTTCCAACATTAAAGTGCTAAATAAAAAAAGTCACATTTGATAAAAACAGCTGAGAAATTCTGAGATTAAAGATATTTAATGGAGGTTTTTTTTGTTTTACATCAAGGAACCAAATTGAGTTTACTAGATAGGACCAGCGTCACTATATTAATCTTTATTTCTGTAAACATATACACTGTATGGACAATAATACTGGGTCAACTACATATTATACCTACAGGAGCTGTCAGCCATGGAAACCCAAACCATGAAGCTCCCAGCACAGTTTTTGTGCTTAAGGTAGTGCCAGAGTAGGTTTGGAGCTGTGCAGTTATTGAGTCAGCAGTGTTGACCACTTTAATGCATTATGAGCACTCAGCGACCCCACTCTGTAACTTCACATCATCTGCAATGCTTTGGTTCCTAAATGCTTCCGCTTATATATACCACTTATAGCTGATTGTGGAGTAGCTAGGAGGGAAGAGATTTCACAAACTGACTCGTTGCAATGTTGTATCCTGTTGCACTACCACTCACTACCATTCACTTAAGCTCTTCAGAAAAACAATCCATGAATGACCCATTTTTTCCACAAAAGGCAGACTGCATGCTGTTGCCTTTAAATATGCAGAAACTCAGATTAGACTTTCTTTTCTTTGACTATTACCCTCTACCCCCAATTGGCAATTTTTAGCCTCACCCTCATAACGAACACACTTTAAGATGCCCTTCATCTGAAATTCTCTTAGGGCATCAAAATAATCACAACAAAGGTGCTCATAATACACTGTTACGCACTATTAACACAGCTTTACAACTGTCACAAGCCAGCTAATGCAAAACTTATCAACTAACTTTCTCTTTGATGAATTAAGACATCCAGAAATTTCTACCCTATAGTCAAAACATATACCCTGTCACAATTGACACATTTTATAGCTACTAATAATAATCTTTTAGAGCTACACAGACCGACATTCAATATTATAACACTTTGTCCTTAACAATTCACATATTATTTTATTTTCAAAACTTGCATCATTTACAGAAATCAAAGGTCCTTTTTAGGTTCTTCGTCTGTAGCTGTGTGGGCATTTTGGTGCGATAACTGAATTTCAGCAGCCTTATATTTCACTTTGAAGACAGTCAAATTACGGCAAAATGTTTCAAATAATTGTGGAAAATTGACTTGGTACAGGTATCCGTGCGTAATTGTGATGGGGATTTCATTTATAATGGAACCACCTCCACACATAAGTGCAACATACTATACAAACGTAATAGTACCAGGGGAGCTTTAACAGAAACTCGTACATACTGCCAGTAAAAGCTCATTCTCAGACAGCTGTGTTTGTGTTTTTCACTTCCCTCCATCGTTTTGCTGATCCAGTCAAAACAGGATGACACGTAGAGCTTAATGCAATTAGCGGGCGAGGTGACATTTACGCTTTCCCCAGGGGTCAGGAACCATAGGAGCTGCCCTTTCATGACATAAGCATTCAAGTTGAAAGCAAAGGCTGAAGCATGTGTATACTGTATAGTCCTGCAAGGACGTGTGTGGTTCAGGAGCAGGGAATCCCAACATTTATAACTTGTGACCACTTTTAATGAATGCAAAATGCAAAAAGAAAGGTTATGCAGCAGTTTTCTCGCATGCCTACTGATTATTTGGCTGAGATGGGTGCTACTGGACTAAGAGAATAATTTACCAGTTTAATGCTTGCATTTCGATCCTAAATGACATCAAAGACATTGCTTTCCAGAGGAAGGCAAGACATCTGCAGCCATCCAATAATTGGTATGTGTACAAATATATAAACCTAGACCTCTACAGGTGATGCTATGGATCTTTTAATATTGCACTCTCACCTAATGACAGTCTTCATGTATGCTTTCTGGATCAAAACACCAAACGAGAGACCATCTCAGAATCCTGGTTACCTTATCTGGACACATTGTTGTTATTGTTTTCCTTTAATATGTCACTCATCTGTAGATGTGAGGAACTAGCTGGGCCATGTTGACATATTTCACAAGAAGGCGTACAAAGTACCTCAAAGCCAGATAGCGGTATAACAGGAATGGCAACCTGTTAAGCGAGCACTTCTTTGTTTTTTTAGACATTTATGAAGACAGTCACCAAATCTAATGATGTGCACACATGTCACATATTGTGGTTGTGGATATTTGCTTAGGGTATTTAAACAACACTAATTCTGCTTGTGATCAGATCATATGGTTCTCCACCAGACAAGCGTGACACGGGTGATGGGCTTTTTTTCCCCCTGTTTTTGTTTTTTCAAAGCTTAGACCACACGCTTTGATGCCTTCAGTTGTAATTGTATTGGTCAATCACAAGTTTGGGAACATTAGCTACACCTGTCATAACATTTAACACAAGCATATGCCTCTGTTTTGTTTTTACATACAGGAAGAGAAGTCACGCACAGACCTGTATGTTCTGAAGAGCTCGTCGCTCTCTTTGAATCCATTGTTGAGCAGCATGTTGATTCCCTTCAGCGCCAGCTCTGCGTCGTTTATACTGTCCGTCTCCTCCTCCACGCTCGCCGGGGCTGGTTCCTTTCCGTCCGCCATTAAGACACCCGATATCGGAGGTGAGGAACTGAACGCGACCGGAGACAGGCAGGTAGGGCGGTATAGCTGGTTAGTTTACTTACACTCAGAGAAGTCTCAACCGGTGCCGCAGTTCGGAGCAAATGCTGGCATATTTACGTTCGTATAACAATCCGCTATTTCACATAACTAGCCGGTTACAACACAGAGTGAAGCTAACCAGTGTCCCGCCAGCTGGGCGGCCGTACTCTGTATTCTGTCTCCTGACCGCTGGTTTGTATATGAGCGCAGGAAACGTGCTGCCTTCATGTGCTATCGTAAAAAAGATTTTTAGCAGAAGAACAGAACTAGATGAAGAAAAAGAACAGATTATTCCTCTTATTGAATACATTAATGCAAATAGAGGTGAAAACGGTGAAACAAGCCACAAACAGAAAGGGTTTTGTTTGTGTTAAATTATTTGTTAACACATCTGTTTCTGCGTTTATTATGCTACGACCTTTCCATTTTTGCCCATCAGGAAGATCGCATGTATTGTTTATGTATTTATTTTAAACTTGCAGCCACACTATAATTTTAGAGTTTCCTTTCCGTTATGTTCTCAGACAATGGTGTATCTTCTGCGCTAAACGTAACTTTGCGCAATTTATTTGTCATTTCTGAGGGAAAAGAACGACCCTGAAGGCAGCATAGGAGTGGGCGTGGTCTTTAGCTAAAATGTAGGGGTGAGGAATCCATACAGTTTTTGACGTTTTTGACTAATTACCAGTGGTTACCAATGGCAATAATGGATCTTTTCTCAACTTTTCATTTTATTTAACACGTTTAACAAATATATCCCTAACAGTTTTTTTTTTTTTTACATTTTCAAATCTTATGTTATCCTAATGCTTTTCTAAAAGTACACTTGCAGGAAAACTTCCTTACTTTTACCACATCTTCCCCCCAAAAAGTCTCATTTCCTCTAAAGCAATATTGAGGACAAGACCTCAGTGTGAGCTCTTACTCTAACACTATGTGAATTTTATAAAGGCCACATTTTATTGTGTTTCATATTTTAACACATCACATATGAATCAAAGTATTCTAAATGCTATATAATTTACTAATATTAAAATGAGCTATAGTTACAAAAGAAATAGACTCACCGCACTGTGCAAAGGTCTTGACGGGACCTTCTGGTCTTTACATTTTGCTATAAAAATGGGAAATAGGACTTTGAAACATGTACAAACATACATGGAACTACAGTAAGGCAAAACCAGAGTTTGCATAATTCTAATGAGTTTTGCAACAGGCTGCTGATACAAAAGTGCTTAAACTTACAGTTTAAAATTGATTCTTTTCTAAGTTGTTGTTCATCCCTTAATTAAAAAAACTACTAGAAAGTCTGGCTGCTTGGAAACAAAATATAAAGAAATGAGGGGTGGCTCAAGCACAGCACTGTACATTAATTGTTTAGTATGAACCATAATGAGTGGAAGTTCCCAAGCTGCTTCCTTGATCAAAAGTCCATTATTTATTTATGGCACTGACAGGAATTCATAAAGAATATTAATCAGACAGATTACATAATGGCTTACAAATCAGTTGCCACAAGACAGGAATGCATGTACAGTGTGTCCAATTTAATATGAATTTTACATCATATTGAGATATAATGTTATTTAAAGTCTGGCATAAATGCACAATTTAGAAAAGTAAACACCTTTTTTGTGAATATAAGTACCTAAAAATACTTTTTCTGTTATTACTTTTGCAATGGTCCCAAACACGACTGACCAAACTTATTCTAATGGCATCTAGGTATATTGGTTATTTAACTGATAGAAACAAAATTTAGTACATGCTGTTATCTGGTGTAACTACTGTAAGATATACATCCATATTCTCATGCAAAGGGAATGCAAAATGGAAAATCACATCAGAACAGTAATACAACACTGGGGGCGAAAAACATGTGGTTTGAAAACATGTGCAAAGAGTCCATGTCTCTTAAGCCAGTTAAAATGCAGAATTCTGCATGCTGGCATGTGGATATGAATACAGAATAGCTTAGCAACCCCTGAAATGTCACTGAATTGAGAATCATGGGTGTAAACATCATTTTTCTTAGTATAAGCTATTGAGTCCAACAAGCAAACCAAAAGTACATCAGTTAATAATCTTGATCTCTTTCGCAGCACCAAAGGCAATACTTGTTTTCTGAAAGTGCTGGGCTGACTTTAACGCAGCACTGACCACTTACAAGCATATTCAGTAGCATTTGATAGTCAGTAGAGACTGACTAGACCAACAAAGTAGAGTTTATTGCAGCCGTCAAAATACGCATTTGTAATTTGTGAGGCAATACACGACTTTACACTAAATAAATATAGACATGTTTAACTTAACAGCAAACATTATGAACCTGTAAGCTGCTGCTCATATATTTATTTTTCACGTACATTCATCCCAACACACTCACGCTGAAACACAATCGTCTTACACACACACTCTTACATGCAAACACATTCTCTGTCATAGTAACAGATTGCACATAGCTGGTGGTGGACATGGTCCCAGGGTTTGTTTACTGATGGTTTGAGGAGATCTTTATGTTCAGCCTGGACACTCCTTGAGGTTGACTGGACCAAACACGCTTGACGGCCTTTCGAAGGACACCAGTTCACCGTTGATCCCCATGTCCTGGATGCATCCAACAAAGGAGGATGTGACAGGAAGCCTCTGCTGCATTAAGATCGCTGTGGCAGAAAGGGACAGGTGAGTGATTTTATTGTTTCAGTCTATTTTATTTTAAGCTTTAACCTTAAGACTATAACTAAAGTGGTTTTTTTTATAGAAAGATGTAAGTTTTATTAAGGGGATAGACAATAAATCTCTTGATTTGTCTTGACAAATCTCTTGGTGTGTATTGTATCTCCAATAAGTCTTTTTTGTATATCTACCATATCAAAAATACATCTTCTATCTATCTGCCAATCAGCTGGCAGCAACTCAATTGCATTTAGACATGTAGACATGGTCAAGAGCACCTGCAATGTTACAGATATCTCAGAACTTGGATGTCGGAAGTTTCAGAAAAAGCCAGGGAAAACAGAAAAAGCCAGGAAAAACACGACTTGTTTTGGTTCTTAGCAAGGTAGAGCCATTCAGATATTACTAGCAGCAAAATAGCAAAATATTACAGAAAATACTTATTTTTATGTGCTTTAAAAACACATTTATGGATAGAGCTTGATCTATGCCCTGTATCTGGTTTATTTAGTGAGTTAAAAAATACACAACAGTGGCAGAACAAATTAAAAGTTTACAGTTTTACTACTGTTTGCATTCAGCGCCGCCATGTTGGATAACTCATGGTATGTTGGTCAGCTCCAAATTTTTTGAGTGGAAAATCCAAATTGAGGGGCATTCCGACTGAGAACTGAGGAAATAGCATTTATTTTGGGATCAAAATGGCGAAGAAAGGTGATTTAAGTGACTTTGAACATGGCATAGTTGTTGGTGCCAGATGGGCTAATCTGAGTTTTTCAGAAATTGCTGATCTACTGGGATTTTCTCACACAGTCCTCCCTAGAGTTTACAGAGAAACAAAAAAAAGAAAATATCCAGAGGTCAATAAGAACTGCACTGGCTGTCCACTGAAAGGCAGAAGCTACAACAAGGCACTGCATGTCGAACCTTGAAAAAGAAGGTTTACAGTCTGCTTAGAACAGGAAACCGAGCCTACACTTCACATGGACTCACTAAAACTGAACAATAGAAGATTCGAAAAATGTTGCTTTGTCTGATGAGTCTCGATTACTGCTACTGCATTTGGATGTTAGGGCCAGAATTTGGCATAAACAATATAAAAACATGGATCTGTCCTGCCTTGTATCAGCGGTTCTGGCAATAGCAATGGTGTTGTAATGGTGTGCGGGGTATTTTTCTAGAACACTTTGCCCCCCCTAGTAACAACTGAGTATCATTTAAACACCACAACCTACTTGAGTATTGTCTCCTGACCATGTTCATCTCTTTATGACCACAGTGTACCCATCTTCTGGTGCTGCTTCCAGCAGGATAGCATAGCATGTCACTAAGCCCAAATAATCTCAAACTGGTTTCTTGAACATGACAGTGTTCTGTACTGAAAAGACTTCTCCAGTAACCAGATAATAAATTATCTAATCTAATAGAGCATCTTTGGGATGTTGCAGAACTGGAGATTCACATCATAGATGTACAACTGAAAGATTTGCAGCTATTGTGTGATGCTGTCATGGCAGTATGGGTCAAAGTTTTTTAGGAATATTTTCAGTAAACTTTTGAATTTGTGCCACAAAGAATTTAGGCAGTTCTGAAGGCAAAAGAGGGTCTAACCCAGAACTAGCAAATTGTACCTAATGAAGCTGCTTGTGAGTACAAAAATATAGTTTAATTAAATATGTGCTCAAGTTTGACTCAAACAAAACTAAAAAAAAAAATACTCAACCACTCAAATTAGATGATTTACACTTACCAGGAATGCCACCCACATACAGTGGGTCTTTGGTCAAAGGTATATTGGAAAATGGTGGTCCAATCTTGTAGTTGTCCAGTGTGTCCACATACAATTGCACAACATTCTTCCTCTTGATTACTAAACATAAAAATAATAAATTGGTATATTTTGTACAATGCATGTCAAGTCTATCAGGTCTTAAAGACAGTTTGAGTCATTTTAATGGTGTTTTACCTGAAATTTTATGGAATACTCCATCACATAAAGAAGCTTTTGGCTTCACTGACACCATGAATTCTCCATTTCCATTGTTTACTCGTGCAACCACCTACAAACAGGAACATGTCCAAACCCAGTGCTTTGAATCACACTGGCAAATTTAGGTCTAATATGAATTTAGTGTCTGTTTCTGCGTGCTGAACAGAAATGGCAAACTTGGTACATATTTATTACACAGGAAGAAAAACATCAGTTTGACAAAGAAGATCAGAAGATATCAGAACCAAGAGACCTTGTTCTACTAATAAGTTCCTTTGAGCTTGAAAAAAAAAATGAGTATGGAAATGACAAACAGATATGTGGTCTCACCTCTCCTCCGAGCATATAGATAATGAGATAGTGACCCATCGGCAGTCCATTTGGAGTCTTGCTGTACACACCTACATGAAGCAGGAGTCCCGTCAGACTCCGTGGACGAATGTTAAACAGCAGCTCAAAGCTGGAGCCCACAACAAAGGAATCGTCTGAAATGCAGAAAATACAAAACGATTTATTAGTGTAAATGCTGTTTAGGCATTTACGCTATCCTTCTGCACGTTTTTTGGTTTTTCTGTGATTTCAAATGAATGGAGAAATCTTCAAATCCCCTGAAACTAAACTAGTTTAGCATACTTTGAACTATAGAAAAAATTCAAAAATTAAACATATCCCATGATCATAGACTCTTCAGGTTTTACTCATTTATATATATATATATATATA